AAATCACTATTGAGAAAGGCATAGAGTTTGAAAGCTTAAAGCAGTGTTCCCCAACCTTTTTATCACCACGGACCTGTCAACGCTTGATAATTTTACCACGGCCCGCTGGGGGTGGGGGGGGGTGATTGCTTATATTTTTAAATTATTTTGATTTATTAATTTTACTTTAATTGTATTTAAACATGCCTTCAAAATAAAATACAGTTACACAAAAAAATTAAATATAAAGTGATTTAACATTTTAACTTACTAGAACGTTAAATCAATGAGAACCTAGAGCTTGTTTCTTTGCAATGAGACGGTTCCATCTGGGTCTAATCGGAGACGATACATTACAAATATTAAAAAATTTATGTCACTACCTTCGGGGGCCCTTTTTTTTAACAAATAAAATTTTAATGGAACACAGATATTTTTAATTTAGGGTATAAACCAAGGAATTTAAATTCAGTTTCAATGAAATGGGCGGACCAGTACCATTTGATGGAACACTGGTTTAAAGAACAAATTCGTAAAAAGTGCTTTTGAATAAAAAAAACTTTTTCATGTAAACATGAAGATTAAAACTTCTTAGTATCTCCTCATAATGAATTTATTTAGAAAAATCTTGTTGCAACATTGTGTGAACAGTGTATATTTGTACAAATTTTTTTTCACACAAGAACATCATTTTTTTAACACGGTTCCTTGCGCTTTATGATTAAAACTCTCACCTTAAAAGAAAAAAGAAAAAACGATTTCATAAAGGATTGTTTTATTTTCAGCAAATTCTTCCTCGTATATTTCCATATGAATCCACCCACTCAATTTCCAAGTACCAGTGACATATGTGAACAGTCTCACCAAATTACCAGAGCGTTTAATCTCTCGTTACTTATCCCACATTTTTACTCTACTCACTCATGACCCTGGTTTTATCAACTCCAACTTCTATCAAGATCCCGAAGCTGTGTCAGATTTAATCGATCATCTAATAAAACAAAAAATACAGTTACAGGGAAAAATCACGATCGGCTTCTCATGTTGTTTTTAGATTTTGACCTCCTATTCAAACTATATCACTACCTATCACGGTTACGGTTGGTTAATCGCGGGGATGCCTGTATTTTTTTTCTTCTTTTTGTTGATCGAATGTCACATTTCACCTTTTTTTTCACCGCTCTTCCGTAATATTCACTTTATGTTCGATTTCTTCTAACTTAATCCTTCACTTTTGTCGACAATGTCGTTAACCCGGTGATTAAATGGGAGTCCTTTACTTATTTTCATTAATTTTATTGTTGTAACGTATTTAACAGTCGAATCGAATGTTCCAGACGTTTAAGCTTCTTCTTTAACTCTTGCTGTAATGATCCAGCTCACCGAACTATATTAATGTGTGAGCAAGTGATGTATACGATAATTTAAGATAGTTGCTTGTACTTAAAAACAAACATTCTACGCTTGAAAAACAAATACTCTGCGTTTGTTTCCTACTTCTTCTTTTTTTTTTAAAAAAAAAAGTAGAAGAAAGAAAATAAAAAAGAAAACAACTCCACGCTTGAAAAAAAAAAATACTGTAGACGAAAAATGCATGAAATGTAACGTGAAAGAACTAATTTTATAGTTTTCCTAGCTGCCTTTGGCGACCAGCTTGGTCATCTTTCTAAATTATCCTGTACAGCTAATAAATTTTAATGGAATGCATTGGACATCCGTATTTAAATATACTACTTTTTTTTACCACTCTTTCACTTTAGTTAGTTTTAAACAATAACAGGGTTGCCACTCCACAGGGAGAGCAGAGAAAATACAGAGAATTTAAAAATCACCTAAAATAACAGGGAAAATGCAGTGAATTTTGTTTCTTATTTTTGTCTTTTAAAAAATGTTGACCACTTAAAGTGCAATCTATCAGATATTTAACCATGATATTTCAGCTATACTAAACTATTTCATTTACTATAGCATCATTTAAGTATGAATAACTGTTTTTTTCCAGCAATTAAAACTAATAAATATAGAAAGCCCTATATAGCTCACATAAGAGCACAGTGATTGTGAGTTTCCTCTTAATATAGTGTGTATAATATGTACAGAGAAAACACAGGGAATTTTCTTTTCAGATTTGAGAGGGGCAACCCTGAAAATATTATTCTAACTTTTTCGCCGTCTAGCTGTTGCCCGCGGCTTTTGTATTTTGATTTAAATTTTAACTATTTTCAAGAGTTCTTTATGTATCGAATTTTAGTAATACTGGGAAACCTCTCTAGAGCGATCACTCTCTGTTCCACAGTAAAAAGGTCGTTCTTAGGGGTTATCTTCATTGATTTCAAAATAATATCGAAGGTACATGATTTTTAGTAGGAGATTTTAATTTTATTTAGTGTCATTTTTTCTATACGGAAATGTCACTAGTATTGGCGTTATGAAAATAGGATCGACGAATAAAATTCAGCATTAAAAAAATTTAACTTTTTTAGAATTATGTGTAAAAATAAATTGACCAATTAGGAAGGATAGAACTATTTTAAATCAATAAACAATTATGTTTTTTGTTTAAGTTTGTATTTAATTTTATATCATAAAAATTAATTAGTTTCAAAAAGGTTTGTTTGAGACGCTTACTTTTCTTTAAAACAACTTTTTAACTTTCAGCTCTAAAAATAAATCACTGATAGCATCGTATTTAATGCACTCTGATTGCAACATGACGTTTTCGATCTCTTTCAGAAATTGAAATAAAATTCTCTCTAAATAAGAGCCATTCACAATTATTTTGATTACGCTTAAATCTACTTATTTGTTTTGTTAGTATTTTTGTTTTGATATTTTTTTTGTGTTTCCTTTATTTGACTTTTTTCCGCAGTATGTGTGGAGGTTTGCACGGTCGCTGGGAGAGGTTTTGATGGTCTCTCCTAAAGGTTTTCCTCAACGCAAAGTCTATAGAAGAAATTCTGTTCCCTCCCCCAAAAAAAAGTGATTGTAAATAGAGGAGGTCGCTTCCTAGAGGTTTCACTGTAATTTTATTAATTAATCCTGGAGGTTTCACTGTAATTTAATAAATTGAATAAAATCAAAACAAAGGTAAAATAAATAACAATCTAATTTCGCCCAAAATCGTGCTTTTGCACTAAGCAGATACCTTAAATCACTTAATCATAACGATTCTCACGGGTCTAAGAATAAAGTAAAACCTTTCAGCAACGTACGGACCGGTAAAATCTATTTAGTTATAGCGCCACAATTTTGTGACCAATAGCAAGATTGAAAATTTTTTATCAGCATTGCGCACAAGCCACCTTTACTTCGAAGATAAGTTGTTACCCATCGTTTTGAAGCTGGCTGAACTCCAAGCCACTACTGTGGATCGAATTTTAATCCTTTACACTGAGCTCAGTGCTTTCAACCACTGTCCCAGGCGTGTTCTTTTTATTTATTTTTTCAAGGATTACAGCAAACAAAATTTTATATAGTTGCATTTTCACATAAATAAATTGAACAAACAAAACAAAGATTTAATAACGCATTACAAGTAACCAGCGCTTAAACTAATAAGAAACGCTTGTATAGTTCTGAAAGTTCAGACCTCATTAAACCCGATTACTCTCAATTTTTATGCCTATTTTATGCAATTTTAATCTTTTTATACAATTTTATTTATTTTAAACGTGTAATTTGTCTATGTGAATTAATTCAAAAAGAAAATATCAATCGATGTTACAGATGTTTTTGTTTAAAATCTGCGAAAAATAACTCTTGACATTACACCCTTGATTTATCACGCTAGCGTTAACTTTGTGAAGTTAATCCGTCAGAGGTAAAAAACAGATAGCGCATTATTTTAAAAAAAGATTTTTTTAAAAAGAGTGTTTAATGTTGCATCCCTTATCCTTTTGTCGCTACCTTGCTAACCTACTTTTTATGATAGGCGTTCATTTCCATATTTTCAAAATAAAAAAAGAAGCAAAGAAGAATGGAAGATTTGTTTAAAGACATTTTGGAGAATTTCTGGGAATCAGCTTTAAATTGCATGGAAACACTGGGAAGTTCTTTTAAAACATCTTTCTCAAATGAAAACTGTTTTTTTTTAACAAGTGTTGCAACCGCAAAGACTATGCAACTCTAATGTCAAAGCATATAAAAAAATGTTTTTAAAGCAAAGAACTGCCAAACACTTTTGTCCCAATGTAAACAGCGCCTCTCTGCAGTAATTGGGTACTTTCACTTCAAGACGAAGAAGACCCCCCAAACCCACACATGTGATCTATGACATCAGCGCCAAATAATCTTTATCAGCAAAATGGCTTATTAAAGTTAGCTAATTTTCTCTACCTGAGTCAGAATGTTAATTATAACGATACGTTTATTAAATACAGAGCCGTATCGCACATCGAATTATTTGAAATATAATTCTTTCTCGACCACTTCTTTTACTTAACTTAGATTTATTATTTGTTTGTGTACTTTATTGTAACCGTGATATATTTTTGTCTTGTGTACCTGGCGACTTCGATGCATAATTAGTTTGTTTATGTTCCATCGTGCCTTTGTGTTAAGTCTCTGTGTAAATATATAGTGTATTAAAATCTTTGAGAAAGAATCTTTGTTGAAAGAATGTAGAATGTGTCACTTAAGAGAACCGATACTCGACGGGCTTGGCTTACTCGAAATATAATCCAAAGAACAGTTGCTAACGTAAAAAATGCCACGTTTTAACAACCAATCAGGATCGAGATACCCACACTACGTCACTTGCAGGTATCCCATTACTAGTTGGACATTGAGTTATTCGTTTTCTTTTATTATTTCTAATTGGAACTTAACCATCACAATTGAACTCGTGGCAACCATGAGAACTGATAAGTTGCAGGTAAATTAGTATTTTTTCCCTTATTTTTTAAAAGCTTTCAGTAATTTCACGATTCATACTAAAGTCCTTAGAAATACCGATTAAAATCTTAGTAGTTTGCATCCCTGTACTTTTGAGGACTGGATTCGAGAAGAGAAAATTATCTTACCTTGCTTCACGGACACATATTTCCCGTTGAAAGCTACAAAAGCAGCTTGGGGGACGGAATCTTCCAGAAAGAATAGTTCATCTTTGGTAACAGTCTGAGATCTAGTTTTCAAAACAGCTCGACTTCCAAGTGGAGCGACGTATTTTCCAGCACTATCTCTGAGGGCCAGGTATCCGGAATGGAACTCGAGGGTAAACAGTGCTTCATTGACCAACTTTTCTGAAAGTCTGCCGTCGTGGCGTAAATATTTATCGTTGCAAGTGTGGATGGCGTATTTTCCTTCGTGGAATTCTAGAGTGAACAGTGTGTCCTCTCCCCAAGGGGTATTGGCGTCAACGTGAATTTCTTCATGATCTGTTGACAGACGAGCATATCGTCTGCGGCCCACGCTTCTGATGTTGACTTGAGGACGAGCAGCTAGGTGAACTGTCCAAAGCTCAGCTGGTCCCGGAACCTAAAGAAAGTAAAAGAAACATGCTAGAAGACTTTTCTTAAAAGCGATCAATAAGACCCAGATCCAGAGAGAATTACAAGATCTGATGTAGAATTCCAATAGAGCAGAGCGGGTTCACAGATACATGTTCATTTAGAACAAGGCATAAATATTTTTCAATACTTCCTGTCTGGGGACGGGATAGCTTGGTTTGTAGGGCACTGGGTCCTTGTCCAAGAGATTGTGGGTCCGATCCTCGCCGGCCGAAGACTCCAAATGTAGAAAACGATGACTGATGCACGTTAAATCTGTCGAGTCTCAAAGTCCTACATGTTCCCATAAAAGATCATACCTCTGGTGGTACGGATTCAGGAGTTTTCTTGTCTTCTTGATCGATTCAAAATGACAAGGCTACGGAGTTGTGCATTAGTAGTCATAAACCCAAAGTTGTGTCGGCTGTTCAACGACGGTCATAATATAAAATAAAATACTTCCTGTCTCTCATTTAAAGAGACCATTTTAAACTACACAGACCTAAATCTACAGCTCGGGTAAAACAATTAGTGCATATATGAACACGAAATGTGACTAACCTATGATTCGCCTACTACTACAGATAAAGATATTCTAAGTAGTGATTTAGCAACTCTGGCGATAAATATATTTGTTTGACTCTAGCCTCTTTAACTCATGTCCGCTAGGCTCTATAGCATCAATTTTAAATTAGCACTAATAGGACTAAAATTTTAATCATTAAACGGTATTTACGGATATTTACTAATTGACCAAGATTGTGATGTTCAGAATTTGCCCCAATGGATGTATAGTGTAAGCTCAGACTGTATAAGTTGAATAGTGATATGGCTGAATAATATAGACTGAATAAAACAAAACTAAATGGGTTCAATATGGGCTTAGTAATGGCTATAAAAATATCAATAATGGTTGTTAAATTTTCGGATCCTGTCTAATAAAATAATATTTAGCGAATCATGAGATTCATAATCGATGTAAGCTACCAGACATAATAAAAATTATCAAATTGAAACTAATATGGTATCGTGGGCACTTGCTTAGAGGATGACATCCCCAACGAAGCTGTTAGCCTTCAATAAGCCAGGTAGTTTTAGAAAATGGGGAAGACTTCCTCTCAGATAGCTTAATGACGTTAAGAAAAATTTAAAAACATTAAAGGTGACTAATTGGGAACAACATGAATTTAATAGACTCGGATGGTAAAAAAAACTCGTTGAAATGACCCTGATCAGCTCTGTGCTGCAATGCCAAGAAGAAGAAGAATGTCTGGTGTCTTTACTAGAAATGGTTGTGATCTTTCCGATCGCCTACTCTGTTGAGATAATTCATTCGGAAATCCATTCGCTCCACGAAAGTAAATTACTTTCTACTTGGCGCCTCGCACCAGTTCATAACAGTTACGGTTCATAACTGGTAAGCTGCAAAGGGTCCGGGCCTGTCTCTGTTATGCAGCGGCCCCAGGACTCTACAATCGGCCTTGGCAAGATTCAAAAGTGGTCTCTTGAAATTTCAGAATGGGAGAAAGATTTTTCTCCGTGCTCCTGTTCCCTTCCCGCTAACCCTGCTCACGTTCTTAATTGTTTAGAAGCTCCCTGGAGGCAGCTGTTGGTTGAGCAGGAGAAGATTTTTGATGTTCTCAGGCGACGGGGTCTTTTGGAGCTGGTGGTAGGCTGTCCAACACCAGGGGATGAGTCACAACAACAACAACAGAAGAAGTATCGGGTGAATTGGACAACTCTGTTTAGAGCTCATTTAGACTATATCTAAGTTGATAGCGGTCATTTTAGTCCTTTGGACAAGAGTTTTGAATATTAATCTTATAACTGCCAGAATTGTAATAGTAAGTGTGGGCTAGAAGCTAGAGACAATCAAAGAACACAGCAGCTTTCATAGCTCAGATCTGAGTCACACACCCTCATGAAAGCTTTTTATCCCCTTTAACTGTCACTGTATTATGAGTTTTATAAACATAGTTTTCTAGAACATCTTGAGAATCCAATGGAAAGAAATTATAACTTACCTTGGCTGAGCACAGAAGCTTATCATTAGCTGCTCCCAAGAAATAACCACGCACAGCATTCCTCAATGCCCAACGTCCAGTACCATCATTAGCCACAGCTACAAAAAACTTAGCTCCTTCCAGTTTTTCTTCACTTTCGCAGGTGACGTTTCCAAAATGATCCACACTAAGATATCGATCCAAGTGACTGCGCAAACATACCGAATCATCATCTCCATAAGGCTCCAATGTCCATAATTGCTTTTTCTTGAGTCCGACGCCATTTGCATTTACTTTGAAACCAAAACTCTCTGCGGTCAGATATCGGCATTGGGCATTTAATAGACCCACTCGCCAGTGTTGGCCGACAGGCTCTGTGGAATGGCCGTTTTGGTGACCATTGCTGATGCCATTCGAATATCCATTTGTATCAGACATTATACCTGAAATTAAAATTTAAAAAAATATATCATAGAAACTATCAATGAGAAATATTAATATTATTTGAAAATAAATATTAAATTACTATCGGTTAGTGAAATAGTTTCTTCCGCGATCTTCCGGTCCGTAACTTGTAGCAGATAATTGTCAAAAATGAATAATAATTTTTTTTTTAAATAATTGAAATAAAAAAAAATTGGAATAAATTTTACTTAACTTTTTTAATAAAATACTTACCATATATTTAAGTACTACACTTCATTTATTTGGAAAAGCAGCTGTAATAAACATGTTTGTATTTTGGCTCCTTTTTAATGAAATTTACATTTGATTGCCGGGACAAATCAAACATGCTTTTCCAATAGTGAGCGCCCACCTTAAATTTTTATAAAGAAATTAGATTTTCAATTCAATGCAATTTCATATGTCAATGTCTTTCTTTTGTAATGCTTTTAATCCGAAAGAAATCTTATTCGTTTTTAAGAAATCGATTTTTTACGAATTAAATTTTACGAATTAAATTACGTACGAATACGAATTAAATTTTTTTCACCAATTAGCTTTGCCTGCGTTGAAGTACTTTGATTTCAGTTCTAACAATCATTCAGGACAATATTTTTTTAAAAAAATCATCGAGAAAATAGAAACGTTTTTTGGAAAAATTGAAAAAGAGTATTATTTGCTGTAATATAATGACTGTAAATTTTATCGCAAAGGAATAACAAAAATAACTATTTTTATTTCAGAATTCAGAATTACTTTGCATAGAGCAGAAAATTTTAACAGCTTCCAATAATTTTTTTCAATAATTTTCAACTAATATTAGTTAGAGATCGATATACAGAAAAATTTTATAGTATTGTTGCACTAAAAAAAATAGTGTGTCAATTAGCTAATATTCACCACCAATATTTAGCAAAAGTTAGAAAACCAAGTTCAATACTTTCTTAAGCAAATGAATTAAAAGAAGGGTTTTAATAATGTCAAAACGAAAACACAGGGATCGAGAATCCAAACATTTCGATTCTTCAAACCGATTTTTTTTTTTTTTTAAATTCGCATTTGTATTCGTAGAAATGGGGATGTTCTGAACACATACTCAAATTGGGAATATCGGAACAAAATCTTAAAAATCTCGACAATTAAAGAAAATATATTTTTTTATTGGAAATACCAGGACAACTGAGAACAATGAATCATTTCAATTTTTCATATATATATATATATATATATATATAATANATATATATATATATGAAAAAATTAACTGTTTTTTTCCAATGCCCACCTGTGTAAACATCCGTCAATTCAGGCATTTACAGGGCTATTTTCTTGACCTCTCTTTCAGGGGCACCATATTAGGTGCTTCAACATCGCCCCCACAGTGAGGACAGATAGTACAGAGAAGGAAAGAACATCCATGCCTTGCCCGGGATTCGAACCCAGAACCTTTCTGATGCAAGGGCAGTTCCCTGCCCCCTACACAGGCCGGTCGGCTATATTCTTTAGTTGCTGATTTAAAATTTGAGGAGACATTCCAAAAACTAGTTCAGAACTTAAGAAAACGGAAGATGCCTAAACGCAGATATTTAGAAATTTTAAAAAATTACATGCTAGTTGAGGCCTTATTCCACCACCGTTTTTTATTCCATTTACAAATTTTTATAAAAATAATCAATTTATGAAAATATTATATTATTGACATATTCAGTTTTTCAAAAAGTTTTTGATCATATGTAGAATTCAATATTTTAGAAATGCGTTCAACTATTTACAAATATTAAAATATCAAAATTGTTTTAAAGATACAATAATAAGGAAACAAAACAAAGAAAGTATTTTATTTTTTAGTAAAGGATATTATGTACATTCAGTAATATTTATTATCTTTTTTATTGCATTTTATGCTTAAATGTGTTACTCTGATTTTCTCGTAAATAAAAATTTTATGTTCTTTTAAAAGTATCTCAATTATTTGAACAGACAGCAGGTTGCGAAGACGATGCTATAATTATTACTTAACTAGGTCGGTTTTTTTTCAGTTTAAATTGCTTAGAATTTCACGTTGTTGTACAGCCTTGACCTTCATAAATTGCTTGACTTTTTTTGAACGACTTGGGTTAATTTAGTATAGTTCGACCTCATGAAACTATTTGACCAAGAACAAATAAAATGGAAGTAATTGTAAGAGACGAAGTTGACTCGAATTTCTAAATTCGTTTTCTGTTTCGCTCATAACATTGTTTTGTGTTCCTCTTTTTCTTTCTTTTTTTTTCAAAAGTAGCTCACGTAACCAAACAAGCAGAGCATAAATTTAAATTAAATTCTATATTTACAACAAAAAGGAGTTAAACATAACTGCTTCGGAATAACATGGGTTAATTGAGAATTGTTAACCTTTTATGCAATTTTTTTCCTTATTTAGCTTATACTCGCGATTAAATTATTACGTAAACAAAAATAGCGAAATGAACTGAATGATGAATTTTTCGTTTTTTTAGTCCCAATTCGTGTATTATTAACAAATTTTATGGGCTATGTTACTCACAATTTACTTCAAGATACTTTTAAAACAAAAAAAAATGTGAATTTTTCTTTTCTTTTTGAATGAATGAATGAATAAACGAATGGGTTAGAACACATAATAAGCACAAAAAAGTAGATTTAAAAAGCATTCAGTCGTTTCGATACCATAAATAAGTACTTTTTTTATTTTATAACCAGCTTCGAACAGCTGACCCAATTCTGATTTTACGACTATCTAAATTCAACTCCGTAGCCTCGCAATTTTGAACTTAATCTAGAAGACAAAAGAACTTCTGGATCAAAGATTGGGACAAACTAGCCTTTATGGAGGACTCTTTGATGAAAATGACCCTCATTTGCGTTACATGGAGAGAAAAACAACGAAAATCTCCTTAGGTTAGCCCGCCAGCAAGAGGATTCTTACCCATTATTCTTCTTGGGGATATTTTTATGTCAGCACTGTGGTCGTTACGAGCCGGTAGCAGAATTCGAATCAACCAACCAACGCTGACTCCCCCATTTTGGTAGTTCGTTGACCTGCCCGCGAAGTCAAGCACTTTACGATAGAACAGGACCGATACTGCGCGCCTTCGGTCCTTTTGCAGGCTGATTAAAGTGGTCACCCACCCGCTCACTGATCGCTTGCTCGCGTTTGAGTTAATGTCAATCAAAAGTAACAAAAAGGGAGTAAAGTAACATGTTGCCTAATTGAAATTTCTGAAGAAAAAAAAGGGTTCTCGTCAACGAGTAAAACTACTTCCCATTCATTTCTTCTCATTGAGTTAAACACTCTGATTTCCTTAGGCTAATTTTTTTTTCAATAATAAATAGATGATTATTTTTCAGATTCAGGTAATCGTCCACATTTCGTTCTGATTAATATGTTAACAAAGTGTTCCATGTTTTTGCTGAAAATATCAACTTTTGAGATGAAAAAACAAAGATAAATGAGAAAATTAAGGGGGCTGGTTAGCAAAGCAAGCAGTTGGCAAAGAACAGGGCGGGGGCGTAAGAAACGTTGCTCTCAGTAATTTATAGAGTTTATGGTTTTGATTACTATAACAAATTTTTTTTTAAATAATAAATATTACATGTATCTCTTTAAAATTAGAGATATAGAAATATTATATGGGTGAACAATACGTTTATATCTATATTAGTAACTTAATGCTGATGACGACCAAAATAGACTTGACTTCATTTGATAAAACTGGATCATATACCATGTGATTTATCTCTCCGTTGAGAACGCTTGAATAGGTCATCACTTTTATCTAACTCATGTGTGTTTAGAAACGATTATTCTTGCATATTATTATTAAGTCGGTTTAAACAAATGATTTAAGTCATTTTATGTTAGCAATGAAGAATTAAAAGACAAAAATATTTTTTTACCAATTTAATTTCTAAAACCAGTTTCATTCGTTGAGATGTAAAGACAAGAATATTTAAACAACAGAATTTGTTTTATAAATATAAAAATCAAACAATGCACAGGCGGATGAAATAGAAGCATAATTTATATTCACTTAAGCTACTTTTTTCCTTAAAAACGAGTTTCTATTTCATTGTTTCAAAACATACATAAGTTGGCAACACAAATATAGCAAAATACATTTACATTTTTTCTTTTAGGGTCGAGGTTTTCAAAATGACGTTGTTTACAATGATGACTTTTGACGTTGATGACATTTGACGTTGTTTACAATGAATTTGTAAATAGTGCAAGGGCGAAAAAGGTAGCATGAATTAAAAAAAAAGCAAATAAATAAATTTTTTATTAAATAATTGTTTTAATCAACATTGAAAGACATTCTGTAATAAAAGATTAATGTTATCATTTTACTTTGAGATTGTTATAGAAGACACAAATAAATAATTTTGAAAAATGAAATTATTTATCCGACTTTTACAGCAATCTCGAAGAAAAATGAACTAGTGAACTATGCAATGATATTTTTTTTAAAAGCAAGCTTTGTATTTATTGATAATTCTTATCATTTTTAAACCTTAAAATTAGCTTATATAAAATAAAATAAAAAGTTTTCCTTTTAAATAAACATAATTTTTACTTTTTAGAAATAAAATGCTGTCCTAATTTTTAGTATTTGAAACTACGTATTTTTTCTGTGTTCTAAATTTTATAATAGGATTTATAAAATATTTAGAAATTACATCGGAAAAAAAACTATAAATATAATTATATTATAACGTACAAAATATGAATAAAAAAACACACTTTTAGTAGTTTTTTAAATGTATAAAATTGATTTAAAATACTTCGGTTTAAAAAGTAAAAATTTGTAGGAATAAATTTGAAAATATAATTCCATTTTTTTTTTAAATATTCGATTTTAAAAATAACAGATTCTTTAAAAAATATATAAAAGCTAAAAAGATTCTTTTTTTAACAATAGAATAGAACGTTTTCAGATCTTAAATAAGTTTAGAATTCTTTTTTGAGCGATACTGTATC